GTTGCACAGTGTGGAATGTTTTGTAATTCAAGCTCTGCATGTTTGCATTTTGTCCACTAGGTGGTACTGTGGGGTTATATGTAATTGTCTGTAGTAGTTATGAAACACGAGTCACCATGATGATTCTCGGAGAGCCTTTAACAATTGCCCTAGTTCACAGTGAATGTTCACCACATCAGTTTGTTATTCCCTATTTTTGACTGTACTGGATGCTCAAATATGATCTAACTTCCAGCCTGAACCATCACAGTGTATAGATGACTCGTCTATGAAATTGGTAACTACCGGTATGCTTTGTGGGTGCTTTTGAAATAAACGGCACGTGGGTGCAATAGCACTGGCAAAGAACAGATAATTCCCCTCAGGATGTGCTTGCACTCTCCAGGTGGCTGAAAGCACCACATACCACCACACCACATGACTTTACACTATTAATGTGTGTTTTGTGTTATGTGTGCAAGAGATTTAATGTTGAGTGAGATTATGCTCTATGCTACCTTGGCCTCCCCTACACTAAGAAAAAAATTGTTATTTGCTGAGGTATTGGGTTCTACCAAGAACCGTTTTGATCTGAATAAACCTTTTGTAAGGCAAGAAGGGTTCTTTGGAATGCAAGAAGGGTTGTACATAGAACCTTTCCGAATTTGAATATTCCTTTTTATGGTCATTTTCTTTATTTCTTTTAAATAGTGCCTGAGCATTAGTGTTTACCTCAGTGTTTAAAACTTTAACATCAGGAGTTTTAGTAATCTGACAAGTTTAAAAAGATAGGTGTGAGAATGTTTTAAACTGTCCATATTTGTACATGTATTTATCTGGCATTCCCTTAATTAATAATTTTACATATACAGTACTGACATTGTTTATCTTTGCTATTCTTTCTTTCTTTCAAATTAATATTTTCTGTGATATCATTGAGCAGAGTACAATAGAAGGGAGTCTGAGGCTGCCTTTAGACAGGCAGCCTATTTCTGATCTTTTTTCCAACTAATTGGTCTATTGACCAATCACAGATCTTTTCACATCAGATCTTTTTCAGAGCTGATCTGATTGGTCAAAAGACCACACAAAAAATCTGAACTCATCATGAGGGGCTACAGTGGCTCTGTTCACCCACATTCATACTCACACATGCAGTCAGAAACGGCCCTAAGCGAAATGTTACGTTCATAGAGGGTTCTAGGTTGAACCTGCAAAGGGTTCTTCAGATAACCTAAAATGGTTCCCTTATGGCATCGCTCAGAGGAACTTGATTCATGTTAACCTGTGGTAATTACATATGGACCAACGTGTTTGATGACTGGTTACTGTGTCTTGATGAAAACAAGAGGGCAACGGTATTACATTTTGTCTGCATCTTTGCAGTATGCTGTAGTCCTTTGTCGAACTCACAAACATTCACAATATGCAACTTCAAATTGACAGGGAGTCATTTTCACACCAAAATCTGGATTAGCCGGCAGTGGTTCATACCTATATCTCCCAATTTCTGGAAGAGAGCAATATGCTGCAGAAGAACTTGAAAGGAATCTGAAAGGAAATCTGAAGCCATAAGAAACCCTGCATTGCAAAAGCTGTCTTTTCAAATGCTGACTACAAACAGCGAGCACTCCAGGGAGTACACAGGGAGTCTTTGAGTGGAGGCTTCATCCAGATGCTGCTTTTCCCATTAACCGTCAGCCATCCTTTCTACCTCTGAGGGGTTCCTCTGCACAGGGTGAGAGCCACCATAGAAATGTGTTCAACTCATTCTGATGCCTTTCCTGTTCATCAGCATATTCTCAACAGAATCAGCAATGTAGGATAGGTTTTCATACTTAACTTTGGGAAATCTGATTAAGGTTGTGTGGTGGATCTTACATATCAAGAGATATGATGCAGATGGGTCTGCATCATGTATATGAACTAGATATTTTGCATCCTCACAAATATTGGCTTTAAATCTGCCAAGATGATTTACAACCATAACATCTATTCCTATGATGAATTCCCTCCTTTTCTCAGTGCTTGCCTTTGATGAGGAAAACACTACTCCTGGTATCATATTTTGATTTAGATCTGACCACAAGGGGGCAGGCAATCAATGCACAGTCAGTCACTGTCTGACAACAAGTCTTGTTTTTCCTCATTCTGGCTGGCCTAATAATGCCAGAAAACTATCATTCCATTATCTTTTGTATTTTTCCTGATAAAAATCTGATCACAACATAAGTGACAAGAGCCAACTATTGCACTGCACTGATATGTACAAAAAAAGAAATCCAAGACATTTTCTCTTTTCCATTTTATTCAGACTTACTGACCTGCTATAGTATTGCATAGAGTATAAAAAAATGTTAGACATTTCTACTAAATATAGATCACCAACAAACACAAGGTCTCATTTTACAAGATAAGGTCGGTTTTTACTCTAGCTGGAGAGTTCATATTGCACTTGGGACAAAGTTGATTATTTTGAAGCATTCTGGTTTTCAGTAGAATGTTTTTGAAAATGTCTTGACTCCAAAAGGGTCACTCACACAAGTGGTAAAACCCAAAAGATGTAAGAGAAGGGCTCCACCTCATCCATTCTGTAATGCTCCCACTCTAGTAAGACCATTCCAAAAGTGAAGTTTGTCGACCTCTCAGTATAAAAAAAAAAGAAAAATCCTTTCTAACAATTAGATCTTTGTGACATTGTTCTTTATCAAGAGAACTACATCAGTATTAGTTTTCACATTGGTTTGTCAACATCCTACAGAGAGCAACTCTTTGCAAACTGCAGAGAAGACATGAAAAAAGTCAATGAAACACTTAGGCTACTTAAAGATGTGCTATAACATCTGTTTTACTCCTTTCCACACTTCATTTTAAGCATTTGGACCATTCGCTTAGAGGAGTCTGTCAAGTAAAAGTGAGATTGCAGTCCTTTCATGTTTGGTAAATCTCCAAAACATCTCTACAGAACCAGAGGGCGAGTGAGTTACATAACTGGCCAGAATATTAGACAGGCCATCAAGTTAGCCTATTCCATTGCTCAATCCAGGGATATTGACTGGTTATACAAACGTACATGTACCACTTGTACTGCCAATTTCATATTTTGGTTAACTTAGCAAAGTGGCTACAGGCTGAAAACAGTGTGAAAAGCTGCCAGTTTTAGACTGCCTGATCCATAGTGATCTTCATCTAGACTTAGCTAGAATCCCACTGTAGACATGAAGGTAGGCCCAGTTACATCTAAAATATCAATCTCTTCATGATCCGCAACAAATATTTACAGACGTGTTTTCACAATATTACCTATTAGATGAAAATAAAATGGGTCCTGAACTCCGCTACAAAAGCCCTAGATGAGTTACTTAAATAAATGCAATATATTATCTCAATGTTGTCATCAAAATAAACAACCACACAGGAAAATGTATAAATACAAATATGTACAAGAAAGAAAAAAAGCTTACAAAGCTTAGAAATTCAACTCATTCGATGCGCAGTTCTCAGCAGTGAGTAGGGTGGGCACATTGAAGAATTGCTGATGGTGTGATAAATAAGACTCCTTGGTTTTATTGTGCCGTTTGTGTGGTGATGTTCAGGGTAGGCCGATTCGGTCCTTAGGGTGGGGTCTGTGTGCAGTCGTGCTGGAAGGACGGGAGGGGTCTGTGTGTCAACAGCAGAGCATCAACACCGGGGAGTTGTTTACTTTGAGAGCTTCACCACAGTAGAGTGCCGGCAGCCTGTGTCCCAATCTCTCATCTAAAAATCAGCCCATTTCAGAATGTGGATCAATGCAGACAAGATAATTCAGTTTTAGTCACATATGATCCATGATAAATAGTGGATACGGGTGGATATCCGGTGTTGTACTTACAGACAACAGAAGTTGTCAAATTGTGCAAACCCTTGGTTATAAACAGTGAAAAGAGCCAAGGAAAGGGACACATTCCACAGTGAGAGAAGGAACTGCATCTAGCTGCTTACATTTGTTATTCACTTTCATACAGGCTGACAAAGCTCCTCCCTCAGCATTCTTATTGGTTGACAGGAGAAGGGGGCCCCTTTTGGGGGACAGAGCTTGGCATACACAGAGACACACACATACCAGCTGTTGTGAAACTGTGTAGCCTTTTTATCACAAGCAAGGGTCTCCACGTGATGGAGCTACGGCCCCTCCCCCTCTCTCCGCAGAGTCTCAGGAAGAAAAACAGCCTGCAAGCAATGCCAGCCAGTCCCTCAGAGCAGGTATGACCCGTAGAAGGAGCTAAGAGTTAGTGAGGATGTCCCATCAGCGCCTTAATAAAAGTTACAGCATCCTGGAGCTGGCAACCCTTTTGTTACACAACTCCTTTCACTACCTACACATGTAGGATCGTAATTTGCACCAGTTTGCGATGAATTATAATTCATGGACATTTTTGTAGAGGTTGATACATCTTCGTAAGGGAAAATCAAGTATGAAATTTCAAAGTGGAAAATACAAACTTCAGAAGCCTTTTTAAACCTCAAAAACAATACAAGTTTTACATTTCCTGCATTGCAGGAAAGTTCTCCAGAAACAAAGTGATCAAATTAAGATCCTACATCTGTCTCCATGACTTGCATTTTCTTGGGAGTAGAGTCCACCCCAGCAGTCTGTTATAAGAGAAAAGAAAAGACGATTCAGAGATAAAGTGTTGGATGAGGATTCTACCGGATGGCTGACGGTTTCACTCAACATTCGGACGCAGTAGTCTCGACCACGGCACGAGGCACCGACATCCAAGGTCTGCTTTTTGCAGTGTCACAGTCTTTGGCGAGGGGAGTGTGAGGAGGGTTAAGAGCAGATGTGTGCCCACACCTGGCAGAATGGCTTCTTTTCAGGACTGAGTATCACATCAAAAAGAAATCACTTACAGAGAAATAACAGGTCGTCACCTTTTCATAGGCTAGTGTCCGTGTGCAGGTCCACAGTGGGCAGTTCCACCATCATCAGTCTTCTTCCTCAGTTATAGGCACTATGTTCTTTACAGGGATACGACAGTGTCTGCCTTTTTTTTTTTTTTTTACAATTGTTAAAGTGGAAAAAATACATTGTACTCAATTGTACAGTTCTTCATTGAGACAAACCACTAATGCTGAAATGAAATCATTTTCTATTCTAGAGTCTGTAACAAAACACACTGACCATTACAAGTAATCAATGTCCCCTCAAGATTCTCAAAAAGTGATTAAACCGCAAAACAAATATTCATCAAAATCTAGTGTTTATGACATTGTTGTCCGCTACCATCTGATTAAAATGACCAAAATGGATGGACAAGGCATCAGTGTAACATGGAATTATCGGCTATGTTTTGAGATTCATATCGGCAGGAAGGCATTCTTTCTGGTGTTAAACATCTGCATTATTGATAATCACCAGTTTTCTATGTTAAAGGAACAAGACCAATTGAAAGACAAAATTAGTGAAGCGGCGAGTTCATGAATCTCTTTGAATAGTGAGACAGAGCTCTTAGTTTTAGAGAGAGGTAGTATTGAATAAGTCCCGGTCTATTTCATATTAATTCTTGATAAATGATTGTAACGCTCCAGAAATACTTGGTGGAATCCAACCCCAATATGTCCTTTTCATCATCTTGTTCCACAGGTTGTCCTTTTTTCCCCCCAAAGAATGCACTGGTGAATAACCAGCCAGTATAAATACATCTCAATGGTAATACTTGTGTTTGTTGCTTTAAGTCCCTGCATATTCATTTCATCTTGCTATAGGAAAGGAGAAGATGGCACCAGCAGGCCACCAAAAATGTGCATTCATCATACAGTAGAAGTGTATCAGACATATCCATCAGTCTTTTTGTATAAATATAACAAGTTCTTTGTATGAAAATAGAGAGAGATAATAAAAAATCAGTCAGTCATTCTTCCCGCCCCAGCTCATAAAATGCTGGGCAGCTGTGACTATGACGTGGCGCCAATCAGTCAAGAGCGCACCAGGATCTCCATGATGTGGTCGAGGTCATTGAGACACATCTGCAGAGTGCTGCTGGAGGTGGTGCAGGTGGAGAATGCCTTGAGGTTATAGTCATTCCCCAATGAGGCTCCGCTGCTCCCTCTGGGAGGGGGGCAGGCCAGAACAGAGAAGTCTGACGGGTCGTACATGGATGTGTCAATGTCCTCAAAGATGTCGTCCAGCTGCAGGTCCGTCAGGTAGCTGGTGGAGTTTGTGATTTCAAAGGATCCGAACAGCAGATCCGGCAACTTGCCAACGTCCTCTGACCACGGCCCCTTGGGGAGCTCTGTGCAGGTCGACTGTGCGTCGTCGTCTTCACACAGCAGTGAGGATGAGAGTGCAGCCACTGGGGTGGAGGGACGGTCCGAGGGCACGGGCGGCAGCTCCGGGGAGTGGCACGGTGTGGCGGGTGCTGGAGGGGGGGACTCCGGATGGTGCGGGCCTCCCTCCTGCCTCATCTCCCGTTGAATCTGGCGCAGAGTGTTAGCCAGCAGCACCGAGCGGTGCAGGCTGGGTTCAGCTCGGCGCTGGCAGCTCTGGAGCTTGTCCAGACACAGGTCCAGCACCAGCTGCCTCTGCTGGGGGTAGGGCAGGTCCAGCATCTGGTCCTCGCATTCACTAAGCTTACGCTTCACCCCGCGGCCCACCATGTACCTGTAGAGGGAAAAGGAAGAAAAGGATGTTAGACCACAGAAGAGAAGAATAAAGTAAATTGAGTAAAGCCAGTGTGTCTACGTATGCGGATGACTCAACACCATACACGTCAGCTACTACAGCAACTGAAATAACTGCAACACTTAACAAAAGAGATGTAGTTAGGTTCGGAATGGGTAGCAAGGAATAAGTTAGTCCTAAATATTTCCAAAACTAAAAGCATTGTATTTGAGATAAATCATTCACTAAACCCTAAACCTTAACTACATCTCGTAATGAATAATGTGGAAATTGAACAAGTTGAGGTGACTAAACTGCTTGGAGTAACCCTGGATTGTAAAAACTGTCATAGTCAAAACATATTGAAATAATAGTAGTTCAGTAGTGTGGTCAGGTGCCATAAAGAGGGACTTGCAGTTGGCTCAGAACAGGGCAGCACGGAAGTACACTGGGTGCTAACATTAACGATATGCATGTCAATCTCTCATGGCTCAAAGTTGAAGAGAGATTGACTTCATCACTACTTGTTTTTGTAAGAGGTGTTGACAAGCTGAATGTACCGAGCTGTCTGTTTCAAATACTAGCACACAGTTCAGACACCCCATGCATACCCCACAAGAAATGCCACCAGAGGTCTCTTCACAGTCCCCAAGTGCAGAACAGACTATGGGAGGTGCACAGTACTACATGAAACTCTATTCCACATCAGGTAACTGATGCAAGCAGTAGAATCCTTTATATATATATATATATATATATATATATATATATATATATATATATATATATATATATATGGTAAAAATTCACCTTATGGAACAACGGGGAATGGGAAGACACACAAAGGCACAGACACATGCATACGCACACATTGTGATATTGTTGTATGGTGGTATTAAACATTTTGTATTGTAGATATGTAGTGGTGTAATAATGTTATATGATGCACTGTTTTATCTTTTGTTTTATTATGTAATTAAGTGCTTTAATATGTTTGGACCCCAGGAAGAGTAGCTGCTGTCTTAGCAGCAGCTAATGGAGATCCCTAATAAATACAAATACAAGCACATAACGACAAGAGACCGGAGCCTTGTGAGTCACTCACTATTGTGAAGCACACACCAGGTGATCTAGTTTCAGTATGGAATTCACAAGTAAATGTTTGCCAGCTAGATATCTTATAACTATTAAAAGTTAAGTCAAACATTTGCTAAATGCTCTGCAGTTTGGTTTGCTAACTTAGTAGCTAGTTATCTAGCTAGGGAAATGGTTCGCTTCTTGCAATCAAGCTCCTCTTGGTAACAGCAGAGAATCCTCTCCTGGATCAAGAGCCTTGCCATCTAATATTTGTTTGTGCGTGAAGCAAACTGTGAGTAGCATTGAGTTACTTGTATAACTTTAAGAGCTGGAATGCCTTTCTTGCAAATAGTTTGTCAGACTACAAAATGTTTTGCATGCGGTCATTTAGCTAGCATTCGCTATGGGAATTGAGATGTTACTTGTTAGCATCGCTAACCTTCGGACTGAACATAGCACCCCTTGTGTTCAGTGCAGGTATTACCTAATATATCAGGATGACACAAGGTGAAGGTATGACAATCTGGATACCGCCCAAGCCTAATGACCAGACCACAAAGTCTGTAGTGAACCCATCATTTTATTTAAATAACACGACTGACAGAGGCTTTCTACGTGTCTATCGAGACACCAATTAACACATTCATACAGTGCATTTGGAAAGTATTCAGAGCCCTTGACTTTTTCCACTTTTCTACGTTACAGCCTTATTCTAAAATGGATTAAATTGTTGTTTTCCATTCATCCAACAAACACACACACACACACACACTACCCCCATAATGACAAAGCAAAAAACAGGTTACATAAGTATTCAGACCCTTTACTCAGTACTTTGTTGAAGCAATTACAGCCTCGATTCTTCTTGGGTATGACGCTACAAGCTTGGCACACCTGTATTTGGGGAGTTTCTCCCATTCTTCCCTACAGATCCTCTCAAGCTCTGTCAGGTTGGATGGGGAGCGTCGCTGCACAGCTATTTTCAGGTCTCTCCAGAGATGCTCGATCTGGTTCAAGTCCGGGATCTGGCTGGGCCACTCAAGGACATTCAGAGACTTGTTCCGAAGCCACTCCTGCGTTGTCTTAGCTGTGTGCTTAGGGTTGTTGTCCTGTTGGAAGGTGAACCTTCGCCCCAGTCTGAGGTCCTGAGCGCTCTGGAGCAGGATATCTCTGTACTTTGCTCCGTTCAGCTTTGCCTCGATCTTGACTAGTTTCCCAGTCCCTGCCGCTGAAAAATATCCCCACAGCATGATGCTGCCACCACCATGCTTCACTGTAGGGATGGTGCCAGGTTTCCTCCAGACATGATGCTTGGCATTCAGGCCAAAGAGTTTAATCTTGGTTTCATCAGACCAGAGAATCTTGTTTCTCATGGTCTGAGTCATTTAGGTGCCTTTTGGCAAACTCATTGCGGGCTGTCATGTGCCTTTTATTGAGGAGTGGCTTCCGTCTGGCCACTCTACCATAAAGGCCTAATTGGTGGAATGCTGCAGAGATGGTTGTCCTTCTGGAAGGTTCTCCCATCTCCACAGAGGAACTCTATAGCTCTGTCAGAATGACCATTGGGTTCTTGGTCACCTCTCTGACCAAGACCCTTCTCCCCCGATTGCTCAGTATGGACGGGCGGCCTGATCTAGGAAGTGTCTTGGTGGTTCCAAAATTCTTCCATTCAAGAATGATAGACGCCACTGTGTTCTTGGGGACTTCAATTCTGGTACCCTTCCCCAGATCTGTGCCTCGACACAATCCTGTCTCGGAGCTCTACGGACAATTCCTTCGACCTCATGGCTTGGTTTTTGCTCTGACATGCACTGTCAACTGTGGGACCTTATATAGACAGGTGTGTGCCTTTCCAAATCAATTGAATTGACCACAGGTGGACTCCAATCAAGTTGTAGAAACATCTCAAGGTTGATCAATGGAAACAGGATACACCTGAGCTCAATTTCTAGTCTCATAGCAAAGGGTCTGAATACTTATGTAAATAAGGTATCTTTTTTTGGCAAACATTTCTAAAAACCTGATTTCACTGTCATTATGGGGTATTGTGTGTAGATTGATGAGGGGGGGAAAATAATGTTATCAATTTTAGAATAAGGCTGTAATGGAACATAATGTAGAAAAAGGGAAGGGGTCTGAATACCTGTCCATTCAAGAGGGGAAAACCCTGTTGGCTGTCTGAGTGGTTGCTGCAGCATGATCGGGAGAGCTGTGGCGCTAGCTAGCGCTGCTCGTAGGTCACATGGCCCACTCCTCTCAGGGGGAATGAGGTGCAGTGTTGGGAGCACGGTGCTAGACTTGCTAGTCACCATGGTGATCTATATCCATCTAGCCTGCCTGGATGTCAGCTCTAGATCCTGTCTCAGGACGGAGTACTGGCTGACTGAGCAGTCCACATCACAGTCTACTTTCTCTCTCTCTTTGCACAATGAGTATTATCACCACACACAGGTTTGGAAATTGGCATAAGTAAAACACTGGATCACCCGTTTGATTGACAGTACCTCTGATAAAAAATGAGCGACCACTCCTGCTGTCTGTGTATAATAATTACATTAGCTATTACAGGAGCTATCTCTGCAGTGATTCCTTGATCACAGCCGATATGATGAGCTCTCCTCTCTCCCCCTCTGCTTTTCCTGGAGCACCGCCTCTCTTCCAATCAGTGTTTGGTGTTGGAGCTGAGGGGGCATCGACATGAAGCCAGGCCGTAGCAGCCTACTCCGTGCTGTAGGCATTTCTGCATCCACGACTCATCCATCACTTGGCTGCATGCAACCAGACATCCTCCGCAGGTCCCAGTGCACATTGGTCTTCTCTACAGCAGAGGCATCAGCAATGGGAATGAATGCCTTTGAGGATAGTGTGGCAAGGAATGCCATTGCACAACATAAGTAAGCTCTTTTTAATAAAGTCAAGTTATAGTGAACTTTAAGATGCCTAACAGATGGAGAATAGTTTGTATCCAATTGATTTACTGCCGTCTTCTAATCTAAACGTATCATTTTCCACCTTCAGGGTGTTGTACTGTGCAGTGTTGCTTCAACGTTTGTGTGTGTGTGTGTACGTGTCTGAGGCCAGTGGTTACATAACTGCATACTCCACCACAAAGAGCAGTGCTCCTTACAGACCTGCCCTATATGCTAGGTGTTCACAAAACAGTCATAGGCTGAGGAATGGACACATTATAGCTCTGTGCTTTTGAGGTATCTGGAAGACATAGGAGTGGTGAAACTGAAGTCTGCAACCTGTCTCTGGCAGCAACAAAAGTCTATAAATGGAATGAGTCCATCAAATCCTATCAATTACTTCAATCCTATGATTTTTGCAGTGAAAACAAGACAGAGCAAGGCAGCGTCCCAGTGTGGATTACACCCAAGCTCCTGGGTGATAAATGTGATGTTAACTGGTCCGCTAACTTGTTCAAACACATGAAATGAAATTTGAAAAGCAAACCTATTCCATTAAATTCCCTAGCACTAGACTATTGTAATGTGGATTTGCATTCGCAGACAAAAACCTGTGGTTTATACTCTGAGCAGAGCGATAGCTAGCTGTGCCTCTCACATGTAAGCAGTTGAGGCAGTGAGCTATTCTTTATACAGGGCCTCTCATTTAGCCAGCTTCTCCACAGCCTACTTACCATGGCAACAGTACCAGATGAGAGGCCGGAGCCAGAGCTAGATACCGAGACTTGACGGATTGTGCACAGATTATGCATAGGCCAAGATACAGAGAGAGGACAGTTGGAGTGGAGATATTGGCAGTGCAGCGTCAGGGAATTTTAAGTAAAGCCCCATCACAGTTCAACGTTGTGGAAATATATGTTACACATGGATAACCTCTAAGCCACATGTGTAAACTCATTCCACGGAGGGACAACTGTCTGCGGGTTTTCACTCCTCCCTTGTACTTGATTGATGAATTAGTAAGGAACTCCCCTCACCAGTATGAAAATGTATGCACTCACTAACTGTAAGTTAGTCTGTGGTTGTGAAGCTAGTTGGACATACTGCCAAATTATCTAAAATGACGTTGGAGGCGGATTATGGTTGAGAAATGAACATTGAATTCTCTGGCAACAACTCTGATGGACATTCCTGCAGTCAGCATGCCAATTGCACACTTGGTAAAGAAATGCTCACTAACAGGGATGTAAACAAATTTGTGCACAACATTTTAGAGAAATAAGCTTTTTGTGCATATGGAAAATGTCTGGGATATTTCAGCTCATGAAACATAGGACCAACACTTTACATGTTGCGTTTATTTCAGTGTAGATCCCCTACATAATGGTCTTGACGAAAAAAAGAAGAACAAAAAGTCAGGGGAGGTTCTCTTCTGCACGGTTCAACCAATCCAGTAAATGTGGAGGAGGAGTTAAGATGGAGTGTCGCATTGTTTAACGTCCAAAAGAGGAAGTCGCGTCACAGACTCTCGGCAGGAGCTAGAACCTTGTCGACCAGCGTTTCCCCAAACTCGGTCCTGGGGACCCCAAGGGGTGCATGTTTTGTTTTTTGCCCTGTTGTAGACCCTGGCTGATTCAGTGTGGACAGGTAAACTAGCAACTAAATCTAGTAAATATACTGTATTTTGCAGTTATCGCGGGTGTAGCGAAATGCTTAAGTTCCTAGCTCCAAAAGTGCAGTAATACCTTACAGTACACACAAATCCCAAAAATAAAAATAAAGGAATTAACAAACAGAAATATTAGAACAAGCAATGTCAGAATCCGGAAAATAAACACGATGGTGTGTATAGACATTATTGACAGTATATGAATAGAAAAAGTGTGTATAGCAGTAGTTATATAGGATGAGCCTTGACTAGAATACAGTATATACATATATGAAGTGGGACAAACAGTAAGTAAACATTATTAAAGTGACCAGTGTTCAATGACTATGTACATAGGGCAGCAGTCTAAGGTATAGGTTGAGTACCGGGTGGTAGCCTGCTAGTAACAGTGACTAAAGATTTGATAGTCGTGTATCAACTCCCTGGCAAGAACTATTGACTGTCCCACTCTCCTTACATACTTTTTTTCATTTAGGTAAATTTGTGACATGCGGGGGAGACAAGTAGGGGCTGTAGATGCCGGAATTCGTAGCCACGCAGGCAGGGGAATCGTATACGGCACGACTGTCCCAAGCTTTATGGCACTTTCAAACAGGACTAAATTATGAGTGGAAAAACCCAGCCAAGTGAGCCAATTCAATAGTTTTCAACAAGATAATAAATTGGAGGAGGACATATGATTGCGTCATAAAATGTGGAATGGTTGTAAATTGACGCAACAACGGACCAGTCAGCCAATTGAAAACAGAGAACAGCGTCTCTTGCCTGTTTCTGCCCACTCTATGGACTTCCCTGCGTCGGTGGCACATGAATGAAGTCACGATTCTACACACTCACTCCCCCTCTCTCTCAGCCCTGGAGGCAACAGATATATGGCCAGAAGAGAGCAAGGAGGGGTATGCTGTGGGTGAAAGTGGGAGGAGAAAGAATAGAAATGAGGACATGCAGTGGGGATAGATGGCTGGGGAGTGGAAGGGAGGAAGGGATGAGGAGGCGGAGACAACCATTGATAAGCAGAGTAGGATCAGAGTAATGAACAGTTAAGCAGACAGACCGCTCTGGCGGATGTCTTTATATGGACAGATTTGTCACTGGGTGGCGGAACCACCCTGACGAAATGAGTCACGTTCATGAGGTAATAGATTAGTCACTCTGCCAGACACGGAGAAGTCCTCATCCAACTGATTTCGTTGGGGTTGAGCATGTGGATCCAGAGTCAAGGGGGAACTAACTGCCTGCTTAATAACACTGCTACATCCTACCTACATTCCGAAGTGTCATTACCATAACCTGGAGAAGAAGTAACATATATTCTTATTTTCAAAAGTCGTTGGAAACTGCTTGGTTTTATACATCACTAAGGACACTCATGGCACATGAAGATGTTCACATATTCTGAATGTCGAAACTGAGCAAAACCAATATCAATGAATTGTTGAGTCTCCTTTCAGAAAGGCCACTTCACTAGTAGACAGCATGAGACCTCTTATTACTGACATGCATTGTTATACAGTGAAAAACAAGTATGCATCAGTCATGGAGGTCTCTTGTGGCTACTTTATTTTCTGCACGCTCGAGTCATGTGTGAACAACTGCAGAGGCTTTTCTGCATAATGCTACATATTTGCTAAATAACATATATTCTGCCCGGCTCCTGTCACACCTCTTGCTTTAAGTCAGAGACAACATAGTGTAGGGCAGAAACCTAAACTACATTTCGCCAAATCAAATTGGATGGTTAATAAAACATATTGGGTACGATTATCTGTGTCAGACATAACTACATGAAGAAGCACTAGCATGCCGAAATGCAAAACCATTCTGTTGATGTGTCGACCAACGTTGCTTGCTGGCGCTACCACAGTTAACTAGCTAGCCAAGTTGATCCCATATTACACAACAGAGCAGTGCACACTGGAACTCCGAGCACTAACGTTAGCTAGCTAGCTAGTTCTGAAAACGCAACAATCGCCTTGTCGTCCCCGTTTCATAATGGAAAATACATTAAAAAAGCATAAACATATAACTAGGTAATCGCTCAATTTATAGTAACAAAGGCTAGAAATTCTGCTGCCAGGAATCGAATCAAACAATCTGGTTCGTTTTGGTTCCCGATACAGCTCGCGCTAACGTTAACGTTAGTTAACTATGGTCGACATAATTTGGTTAGTTAGCTAGCTACTGTTAGCGAATTGAGCTAACTTAGTTTAGTTATTCGACTAATGTTTCAGGTGTAGATAGACACATGCCAATGCCAAGTAAATATCCTAAATCAATTTTAAAATGTGCGTTTCTCTTGTTGTGGAGGAAAATGAGAGGAAGTACAGTAGTAGCAGGCTAACTTAGCTAAAGACAAGTGGCTAGCTAGCTATGCTAACGTTAGCTAGGTTAGTTATGAAGTTTCAGTGGCAGTCAAACTGAGGGGTTTTTTTATTGCAAAAATTAACAAAATGTGTACTAAACCAAGTCAATTATCTTGATTGGATATTACCTTGACGAAGGGAGGGCATTTCCATGTTGTTCAGGTCCTTTCACGTCAGACTCCACATCCAAACGACACATCGTTGAGGCAGTTCGAATTCTGCTTTTTCTTCTCACCGACGTCTCGTAGGATACAATATCCCGTTGGCCCATATCATTATGTAGTGTTGTACTAGCTAGCTAGTTCTATTTCTCGCCACAGCAAAGACAAAGTAAGAAAACTGTGACAGATTGCTAAAAACTAGAATACATCTAGCTAGCAAGATATATACTGTTAGCTATGCTAACAGGCCTTATTATAAAATCCTCTGACTTTGAAAGTCGAAATATGCTTGTCAAAAGTATGGACATTCCTGGACAAAACTCCTCTATTTCAGGCATCGAACTACCTATTAGCTAACTGAAGAACCACCGTTCAAAACTTTGGCTACAACATTGTAGAACCTACCCGAAGGAGGCTCAGCTGATTGACGGTCGTCAGGTGGGAGAACCTTGATTGGTCCAATGAAATTTCAGACCCGCCTAGTAACTACGTCTGATTGGCAGAGTAGAATTCCCCCCACCCCTGCCCCTTCCTTATCGTTCTAATTAACCGCCTTCCGCTCACATACTGGAAACGTGACCAGACGATTCAAAGGGCATTTACGTTTTTGCCACAAAATAGCAGTGATTAACAAGTTTGAGAAAAATGTGTAATGTATTTGCCAATCTAAGGTTTTTAAACATTTTCACTTTTCCAGAATACAGTATCCTGCTGCCTAGCCAGGTGCAATCCACAAGAAATGCATGCTCACATAACCAGTAGTGGCCAGGGAAAAAGTGCGGGGAAAAGTAATAGAGTATATCGTGTAAAGCTTTTTTTAGCATAAAAATATATTGACAACCTATGTTGTCAAGGAAGATAGAAGTGCCTTTATGCGTAGGGAGTCTGATCTTACGGTCCGGGACGATCAAGCTCTAAAGCATGAAACCAATGACTGAACAAAAATATAAACGCAACATGTAAAGTGTTTGTCCCATATTTCATGAGCTTAAATAAAATATCCCAGAAATGTTCCATAAGCACAAAATGCTTATTTCTCTCAAATGTTGTGCATACATTTGTTTACATCCCTATTAGTGAGCATTTATCTGCTGCCAAGATAATTCATCCACCTGACAGGTGTGACATATCAAGAAGCTGATAAACAGCATGATCATTACACAGGGCACCTTTTGCTGGGGACAATAAAAGCCCACTCTAAAATATGCAGTTTTGTCACACAACACAATACCACAGATGTCGAAAGTGTTGAGGTAGCGTGCAATTGGCATGCTAATTGCAGGAATGTCCACCAGAGCTGTTGCCAGAGAATGGAATGTTCATTTCTCTACCATAAGCCGCCTCCAACATCGTTTTACAGAATTTGGCCAGTATGTCCAACCGGCCTCACCTCATGTTTCAGCATGATAATGCACAGCCCCATGTTGCAAGGATCTGTACACAATTCCTGGAAGCTGGAAATGTCCCAGTTCTTCCATGGCCTGCATACTCACAGACGTGTCACCCATTGAGCATGTTTGAGATGCTCTGGATCGACGTGTACGACAGCGTGTTCCAGGTCCCGCCAATATCCTGCAACTTTGCACAGCCATTGAAGAGGAGTGGGACAACATTCCACAGGCCACAATCAACCGCCTGATCAACTCTATGCGAAGGAGATTTGTCGCGCTGCATGAGGCAAATGGTGGACACACCAGATACTGACTGGTTTTCTGAACAATGCCCCTACCTTTTTTTTAAGGTACTGTATCTGTGACCAACAGATGCATATCTGTATTCCCAGTCATGTGAAATCCACATATTAGGGCCTAATGAATATGTTTCAATTGACTGATTTCCTTATATGAACTGTAACTCAGTAAAATCTTTGAAATTGTTACATGTGGCTTTTATATTTTTGTTCAGTATATATGAAACACACAGATAATCTGACTACTAATAGGTACTTATCACAGTAGGAGGCCGTTTCTACTTGTAGAATTGCAATGGGCAGTGCCCAACAACGGAGAGAGGACTGGACATCACGCTCGGGTTGGAAATGGCAGCAAGTTGTGTGGACAAAATGAAGGAAATGGAGAAAAGGTTGGAGAAGCAACAGCTGTGCTGTAATGCAAACAACATGGGTGTCAGTTCTGATGATATGGAGCGGGAGGATTAGGGTCAAGGACCTGAATGATCTGTAGTGGAAAGACATAAGAAGAAGAGAGCTCATGATACAGAAAGCAGTGGAGCGTCTAGTAAAGAAAGCATAAAGAGGGCCAATGGAGGAAGCAAGAGTAATAATGTGTCCGAGTGGAAAGTTGTGATGGTGTTTGATGAGACCACAGGGCCTCATTTACACCATATCCGACTAACCAATGCTGTAGAGAAAGAGATAGGTGAAGTCAAACTAGCTCGGTTCATTGGAAAAGGTAGACTGCTAATATTTTGTGGTAGCCAGGCTCAGCAAGGGAAGATTCTGCAAATTGAAAACCTCAATGGGAAGAAGACTAAAAGCCATGTCCCTGGTGCTTATGCTAGGTTGAGAGGAGTCATCACTGGGGTCCCAATATCTATGTCCATGGATGATAATAAAGAAAATGTGAAGGCAGGCAGAGGGATTGAGGCAAAAAGGTTGATCAGTAGGAAAGAGGGTCAAAAAAGCGAAAGTTTATCAGTGCTGCTGAGGTTTGAGGAGGTTTTTCCTGGAAAAGTACAGATGGAATTCCTTAGTTTCAATGTCAGAGAATTTGTCCCTTCCCCATTGCAGTGTTTTAAATGCCAAAGAATGGGACATGTACCTGTTCAGTGTAAAGGAAAGAAAATATGTGCCAAGTGTGGAGGGGAACATGATTACGGTAAATGTGGGAGCAATGTGAAGGTTAAGTGTTGTAATTGTGGGGGGAAACATAGTGCAGCATTTGGTGGATGCTAAGTACAGAGAGAGGCTAGAGAGGCTCAGAGATATAGGATCAGTGATGGTGTATCATATGCAGAGGCTGTAAGACAGATTGGTGGAACTACAGTGCGGACTGATGGAGCTTCCATGGCTGATCCTCTACTAAGTGGACCTACTGTCGGGGCTGGTGCTTCTGCTGGTCCTGGCATGGTTTTGAGACATGTTCAGAAATCTTGCGATCATGAATGTACTGTGTCAAAGGACACTGATAGTGAATAAAGTTAACTTCATAGCTTTCATTGGTAAGATTATCAACACGACTCAGGTTGTGGAAAGCAGAAATGCCAGGTTGAAGGTTATAGTGGATACAGCAAAAGAGTTATTGGGGGTAACAGATGTTACTGTCGAAATGGTTGTTGACATGCTGAAACAATCCACCCACATGCTGAATAATCCTAAAGGTGGATTGTTTCAGCATGATATATAGTATATACAGTTTAATGGATTGGGGGGGCTTGGAAAAGTTTGGTAGAAATTAGTAGGGATTATAATGTTTTATTTATTTATTTTTTGTAGTACAGAATTAGGCAGACCGTGATTGGTCGCACACTCCAGCACAGTAGGTGGCTGCACTCACCTTAAACGTTTGCAGACCGCCATTATATCATTGAAGAAGAAGCAGATGCAGAAGAAGAAGAAGCCCTAGTTAGTTTTTTGGGGAATCCTGTTTCCATCCCGCACAGTAGGTGGCTGGATGCACATTAAATTGTGCAATCGCTAATATACCATAAATATACCAATTTTTTCCGGTCTAATCCATCCTTGTCATCAGAATTGTTCTAACTAAAACAATAAAGCTGCATAGTACATCTTTTTTTTCTAGAGCAAGTCTTTACATCTTTTACCTCTAGCTAAGGAGTTTTGTGCTTGAAGTAGGATTAGGTTTGATAATGTGCATTATAGCTTATTTGTTAGCTAACGTTAGCTTGCTAACTGAGCAAGACAGTGACACACACACTTAATATAAAATAAATGGGGTGGTAAGTGCAGCACAATGCACACAACACTAAATGCTTTACCAAGCTAGCTATCTGGCCACTGTAGCTAGTAACATTATATGCCTGGAGTCATGTCCTCATTCGAGGCCTAATGGTACAGTCCTGGAAAATCTTGTATCCATACCAATTCAAGCCAGCCCTACAGTATCTTTAAACAGAGTGTTACCTACTGAACATAGCATGGTTGTTTTAGAGACTTCGTCTGATCTTGAACCCCTTGGACTGATTCATGTAAATACCAGAAGTTTGATTTAGACTATTATTTTATTGTAACTCTGGCTTCAAATTCTGATGTGTCTCTCTGACTGGTTATAATATACTGTATTTCGATCTGACAGCGTTGGCAGAGGTTGGGGTGTCGCCATATTCGTAAAGAGCAATTAGAATGTTCTGTGTCCCTTTCCACCTCTGTCCCTAAGCAATTTGAATGCCTAATCCTAAATGTGGGCCTTGGTAATAATAGCCCATTAAAACTAGTGGGAATTTATCGCCCTCCCTCGGCTCCGCCTTGTTCTCTAAGCAAATTGTATTAATTACTGTCTGACTCTGCTAAATCTGAATTGTTAATATTGGGTCATCTTAATCTGGATTGGTTAATGCCAGTATCAGATAGGCTGAACGAAATTTGTACTGAGCTAAATCTAACTCGCCACAACATTAAACACCCTGAAATATCGACTCTTTTAGATATTATTCTAACAAATGCCCCTCATAAGTATACTGCCAATGGAATCTTTGCTAATGAGCTCAGTGACCATTGTCCCATTGCCTGCATAAGAGATGCTAAACTACCTAAATCCCACCCACGCATTATTACAAAGATACATTTTAGGAATTTTAATGAGCAACATTTAATGTCTGATCTGGGGTTGTCTTACTGGGGGATTGTATCATCTATCTCTGACTCAGATCAGGCCCTAAGTTGTTTACTTCTCTGTTTAACACTGTTGCAGATAAGCATGCTCCGTATAAAAAACGAACAGTAAAGGATAGCTCAAACCCTTGGTTCACACATGAATTGTCTGATAAATTACAGTAACTCAATTTTGCTTTGCTAAAGTTAGATTTACTGATACTACGTCTGACTCGCAGTCTTTCAGACATTTGAGAAATACTGTAGATGTCTATCTCTGGTTGGAAAAGCAAAGTCAATATACTTCTTGAACTGTATCTGAGAATGGTGGGAATCAAGCGATCTTCTGAAAGTAGGCAATATTCTGAAACCAAAACTCTCCCCCCCTTTATTCACCTCAAAACAGACTTTAGAGAATGATGCACTCCCATATACACATTCTCTATTTTCATTTCAACCATTTTATATCTATGATGTACTAAGTGCCTTGTTAAAAATCAATGTAAGTTTCAGAATCCCTGGGCCAACTCTCAGCTAAGAACTTTGTTCAACTTCTCATTCTATTCTAAATGTGCACCAGTCTGGTTTTAGACTTTGACATTGCACCTCTTCAGCTGCTATACTTGTTCTAGATGATGTGTTAAA